GAGGTGGCAGAAGCCGCCGTGTGTGACACATATTGCGGTTTTCTTTTCGCAGCAGCGTTGAGACACAGATTTGCCCGAATGGCGGGGAATCTCGCCGCCCCCAGCGCCACCCAGCGCCTACCAGCGTTCGCTCACAGCGCGCCCGACCCGCCGGAGGGCGCGGTCGGCGCGCGCATCAAAAACTTTGGACGTACGTCCCTCTGCGGCGTGCAACATAGGCCAACAGCGCCAAAGGCTGGCGCCAATGGCGCCGGCCTGCGGCTGCGGCCCAGTGCGGCCGGCGCGCTGCGACGACCGGCGGCGCCGCCTGCGCGCAGCCACGGGCGGCCGCACAGCCGCGCGCGGAGCGCAGCCGGGCGCCGCAACACCTCCACAACATCTGCAGCGCCCTTTTGCCTGCTGCTGGCACTGATGGCAGCACGAGATGGGCGAGCCGAGGCACACGCGCGCGCGGCACCGTCGCGGCCGCGCGACCCGCACGACCACCGCGCGCAGGCGCTGCTCGCAGCAGACGAGCGGAGAGCCTCTGCTGCTTGCCAGCAGCTGCTGCCTTCCTGCCTGCCTGCCAGCCTGCCTGCCTGCCTGCCGGCCGGCCTGCCGGCCTTCGCACTTCTCACATCCCCTGGCCCGCGAGCACGCTGGCCAAGGGCCGCGGGCGGACGGGCAGGGAGACGCCCCTCGGGCACCCGAATCGCCCTTCGGGCCACCAATCCATTGCTCGTCTCTCCTTCCATAATATCATTTAATATCATCGGCCGAAAGGCTCGCCCATATGATGCTCCCCGCAAGACTAACCACCCACTCTTCCGCAGACAGGCCTCCACAGATGGGCGCCCCCCCCGCGCAGCTCTAAGCGAGATGCGCGCCCATACCTTTCCAGCACTGACTCCACTGCTCGACTCACCTCCCTGTGCAGACTTGCCAGACTGCTGGGCGGTCTTTGCACAAGGAGAGTCACTAGACATACAACCGCCGAGATTACTCACCATCATCGGAACCTCGGCAGACACGCCTGAGGTCCACAACGCACTTCATCTACACATGTGGAATCAAATAATAGTCTCCTTCTACGAGGAGGAAGACATCAAACCCGAACAAACCTGGAAGGCGGTCTTGAACCTATTAGTGAGAAACATGCAAGCGTACTCGGGAGAGGCCAAAACTAGGCTCCGACGAATAAGACACAAGAGCGACCGAGTCAGCGATTCGACCATGAAAGAAATCAGCGACAAAGTAGAACCCATGGGGACGATTGACTACTACGGCAGACTACGACTGAGCAGGCGAGTGAATGAAGAACTAAGGAGAGTGGGACTCGACCACCTCACCACAGAAGAGGCGACGACTCACGCACGAGAGATCAAGTTTGTCAAGGCCTCACAAGCTAGCACATCGAACACCTAAAGACTTAAAGGCATCACACTACAAGGAACGCGGCTGCGGCAGCTTGTCGACTACCAGCCGGTGATGATAGTACTAGCACGCGCCAGTTCGCACCTGTGTCGAGCCTTTCTGCTGTGAGAGAGAGTTGTTTTGACTAAATTCTTCTTTCTCACGGTGCTAAGTGCATTGCCGTTCTTAACGGAGTCGCTTAGGCGGCTCCGGTGGTGTGCTGTGTCGAGAATTCTTTCTAGGGCCCCCGCTGGATAGTCTGCTCCCTCGCCGCCCGGCTCCGCCCGCGCCGCCGCCTTCTGCGCCTCCTTCTCCGCCTTCGCCGCAGTGACGAGGAATGGCAGACTCGGCTGGCCCAAGCGGTGGCCCAGGCGTGCCACCCTCGTTCGCGTCTGGCACCGCCGACGTTAATGCGGCCCTCTCCTCGGCGACGGTCGGGCTTGTGAGCAAGGCAGAGTTTACGCGCAGGCGGGAGGAGCTGGAGAAAGCGGCGGAGCCGGCCGATGAGAAGAAGAAGAAGAAGTCGAAGAAGAAGAAGGGGGCGGCGGCGAGCACGCTCTCTTTTGCCGAAGACGAGGGGGAGGAGGGGGAGGAGGAGGTGGTCAAGCGCCCAAAGCTGGGAAAGAACCCTTCGGTCGACACCGGCTTCCTCCCGGACCGGGAGCGCGAGGCGGCGGCGGAGGCCAAGAAGGCGGCGCTGGCGGCGGAGTGGCAGGCGGAGCAGGACCGGGTGAAGGCGGAGGAGATTGGCGTCACATACTCCTTTTGGGACGGGCGCGGCCACCGGTACGAGACCAAGGTGAAGAAGGGCTGGACGATCGAGACCTTCCTCAACAAGTGCCGCGAGCAGGTCAAGGAGCTGCGCAACTGCTCGCCGGGCGACCTGATGTACGTCAAGGAGGACCTGATCCTGCCCCACTCGACCTCGTTCTACGACCTTATCGTCAACAAGGCACGCCTGCGGCAGAGAGTCGGGACCCGCCAGCCGCGTCGTGTCCGCGACAAGTCGTCCTCTCCGCGACACGTCCCGTAGGCGCGAGGCAAGTCGGGGCCTCTCTTCCAGTTCGACGTGCACGACGACGTGCGGCTGGGGCCTGTGGACTCGCGGGTGGAGAAGGACGAGAGCCACGCGGGCAAGGTGATGGAGAAGCGGCTGTACGAGCGGAATAAGGAGAAGTTCCCGTACTCGCGCTTCGAGGTGTACGACCCGACGAAGAGGTTCGACACATACACGGTGCACGGCTCGGAGACGTTTGGCGAGGGGGTCGACACAGGCGGCGTGGGCATCCTCAGGCCCGAGCGATGAGAGTGACGGTGCGGTGCACCGGGGCGTGCGTGCGTGCGCGTGTGTGCGCGCGGTAACGTCCCGACAATACATGTAAACGGTCAAACTCTCTGAGACGAGAGAATTTTTATCGCGTCTGTGCACTGTGCCGGCTGTGCGATAAAGCACACGCACGCGTCCTCACGCGACACGGGCACACGGCCCTCGGCCGAAACGACCCGCGACGAGAATCACAAAAGTGAAAAGAGCGGGGGCGCGCCAACCCAACCCCAACCCCTACCCCTACCCCGACCCCTACCCCTACCCCTTTGCAGGCCGTCCGCTCGCCGCCGCTGGCCTGCTGCCCGATTTGCAGCTCCCGGACCTGACCCAGCACATGCCCGCCGCCGTCTGCGAGGGAATCGACGTCCGCTTCCAGGCCGGCGGCACGAGCGACACCAACGACTCCAACGACACCAACGGCGCCAACGGCGCCGACGGCATCGGCGGCATCGGCGGCGGCGGCGGGGCCGGCGTCGGCGCCGTTCTCAGCGGCTACTTTCGGTGTGAGACTCGCGTGGCGTTGCCATCGGCGCCACAAACTCCCATGCTTTCGCAGCCAAGTCGTACCGCTCCAAAAGGTTGGAAGTTGCGCGGTCGGCCTCATCATCCTGGCCGCCCGCCGCGTAGAGCTTGCCATCGAGCACCGCCGTGCTGACGTACCCTCGTGCCGTTAGCATCGGCGCCACAGCCTCCTCCTCCCACTCTTTCGTTGAAGGGTCGTACCGCGCGCGCGCAAAAAGCGTGTTTAGAGCCGTATATGCAAAAAACGAAATCAAAAAAAGAGACCGAGAGGCGGAGAGTACAGCGAGATGTGCTTGTGTGGCCATGGTGTGGCGAGAGCGTGGAGGGCGAGCGCGCGCCGCTCGGGCGGGGACCCTCCGGGGAGATAACGTAGTGCGCTTGAGAGGGCCCCCCCCGCTTGAGCCATGTGTGAGGCGCCTGTAAACAAACAAATAAATAAAACGGTCAAACTCTGAGACGAGATGGGATTTAGGGACATGTGTCCCCGCCCTGCACGATCTTAGGATCTTTTGAAATATGAGGCGCCTTGTGCGGACCCGCGTGTCCCGGCTTAGGGTACCCCTAGGCTCAAAAGGGTGGGCCCTGGGGCGCCTGCGGCTTAAACGGCTTAATTAAAGCGGGCCATGGCCCATTTTAAGCTAGGCTGCCTGGGCCGCCGATTCCTTAAACGGTCTTAAACGCTTAAACGGTCCTCGGGAGAGCTCCCGAGGTCGATGCACGATGGTCCGGGAGGCTCCCGGTAGACGCCGGAGGCTGGGAAGCCGGCTACAGTCAGCACGCGCCCCGTATGCGAGTATGGCTCCTGCCAGTGCACCAGACTTACAGATGTGTCTTCAGAGGCGGGTTTGTGCCTAATAACGGCAGTATGGGAGAAAACGGCGCGGAACCCAGCGACGCATGCCGGCGAGGGCCGAGGCCGATTTTCTTAAACGGTCTTAAACGGTCTTAAGAATTCTTAAACGGTCTTAAAAGAGGGACCCCCGTGCCTCCTCATTTCTTAAATGGCAATCTAAGCCCCCAAGCCTCCTCATTTCTTAAAAGCTCTTGAAAAATCCGGCCCTCAGAACCCTAGAGGGGTGGACCCGCTAAAGTGTGTGTCCTGGGGCAGTGAGTTAGAGTGGCACCGTTTATCGCAGAGATTGATTGTTTTCTTTTTTCTAACCAGTTCGGTGATCTTATGACTGCCGGGCCCTGCTTGCCTTTTATTTTATTTTTCTGGGGAGAGTCCCGTGCCCAGAAAGAAAGAAAGAAAATTTTCTTGCTTCTTCTCTTCCCACTTTTATTTTTCTCACCCAGTTCGGCTGCAGAACCTCCTCCTCAACTACGCCTCCTCGGACCCTCTCGCCATCGTCGGCCGCCTCGCCACCAGTTCGGCTGATCTTATGACTGCCCCGGCGCGACGCCGCCACCAACCGCCGCCGTCGCCATCGCCCACATGGGCTCGCGCCAACCACGAGGCGCAGCAGCCCTTTCGTGCCGAGCTGAAGCGGCTTGGGGAAGCTGTGCACGAACTAAACGCGTGGGCTGAGCACGAGACGGCGGACGTTGCCGACCAGCGGGCACTCCTCAACCAGCTGAGCTGCCGGCTCGGAGCGCTGGCGGCGGCAGTGGCGGAGTTGCCGCAGGTGTTTTCCGAGTCCGTTGCGGGCCTCGTCGAGGCGCACGAGTCAATGCGTGGCGAGATTCAGATGATGCGAGCCCAGTGGCGTGACGAGCGCGCAGCGAGCCGCGAGGCGGTAGCGATCCTTCGTGCGCTCATCGATGACGCGAGCGACTCGGCGAGAGTGACGGCGCTCACGGCTCGGGTCCAAGCCCTGGAGGCTGCATCCGCCGCTGGCATCAGGCCCTCCTCGCCGTCCGCAGCGGCGGAGCAGGCGGCAACTGCATTGCAGGCGCAGCTGGCGGCGGTGAGCGCGCGGCTGACGCGGCTCGAGTGCAGCGGCGCGGCGGATCAGGAAGAGCTTGTGCAGAAGGTGGCGATGAGGCAGGCGGAAGCAAGGGCGGAGGCGAGCGAGGCGGAGGCGGAGGCGAGGCGGCGCCAGCATGCCGCTGCTCCTTCACTACAGGCTTCACACCAGGTGGCGGCGGTGGCGGCGGTGACGGCGGAGCACAGGCGACTGTGGAGTGCGCTGCAGGAGGAGGCCTCCCTCCGAGAGCAGGCACAGGCGGCGGCGGCGGCGGCGGCCGTCTCGGTGGCAGTGGAGACGGCGGAGACGGCGCGCGCCGCCGAGGAGAGAGCCGCCAGCGCCGAGCGGGTCGCAGACGAGGCGGTGCTCACTGCGCGCCAGGCGAGAGTAGCCGAGAGTAGCCGAGACTGGCCGAGACTGGCCGAGACTAGCCGAAACTGGCCGACCAGCTCAATGCGCGTCAGGTGGCCGCCCCCTCGTGGTGAGTGCCACCCCTCCACCCGCTCCACTGTCCACTTCTCCCCCGGCTTGTGGCGCCTTAGGCGGCTACCCTCGCCTCGAACGAGGCCGAGGAGGCTGCGGCCGCGCTGGCATCCGCGCGGCGCGCGGCCGGCGACGGCGTGCGGTGTGTGATGGAGGCGCAGGAGGCACTCTCGCTGCGCGTGGAGCTCCTCTCGAGCAAGGTCGACTCGCTAGCGGGAACGCCGCGTCACGGTCAGGCCGGTCCAGGCCCCCCCGGGTGATAACTGAGATTCTGTGCAGCGTTGTGTATATGTGCAACAGTATATGACATACGGCTACACTCGGCTCTCCACTCTCTCACAGCTCACACACCGTCGAGAGATACGCGCCGTCAACACCCTCAAAGTCCATACGTACCGTACGGCGTTACGAGCCGTTTTCTCACTCGAGGCCGGAAAGCTCCGCACCATCCGTGCACCCTCGCAGCCCCTCATCGGCGCAGCACCTTTGCCTGGACAAACAGGTCGTAGACCGCCGCAATCCGCTGCTCACTCTCCGGCGCCGCAGCTCCGCCTCCCGGTCCCGCTCCGCCGTCCGCCTCTGCCGCGGCCGCGACGGCGCGCTCGTGGAACTGCCGGAACTCCTCCGGCTGCATGTAGTGCTGCACGAGCGTCTCTCTGCGGAAGAGCGGCAGCGGCCGGTACGGCCGCACGCCCTCGATGTGCACCAGCCGGAGGTTGGCAACCGCGCCGCTGGCGGCGAGGCGGGCGAGGTAGATCCCTACGATGCGCGGGGACAACATACGGCGGCGGCGTTGGGGCTTTGCCGGGCGGAGAGGGCGGTGCAGTTGGTGGAGGAACAGGCGGGCGGGGCGGGCGGGGCGGGTGCCGATGGCGACGTCGAACACGCCGCCGCGGAAGAAGCTCATCGAGGGCGACAGCTCGACCAGCTTGCCCACCAGGTCGCACGCGATCAGATGGCCGCAGCCCGACGCAAAGGGCGGGTACGAGTCGTGCGGCCACTGCTCCACCGGCATGTACGACTTTTGGGCGGGGTCGCGGAGCGGCTTGGTGCGCCGCCCGTCGGAGCCGTCCCACAGGTACCCCGCGTACACGCCCTCCTGCGGCGAGGCGGCCGGCGAGCGGACCCAGCCGAGCAGCAAGTCGAGCCGGACGTACGAATCGTCGTCGGCGTGCATCCAAAAGGCGAAGTCGTGCGTGGCGACGGCCCAGCGCCACGCGGCGACCACCTTCGCAAAGATGGTCTCGTAGCTCTCCGGCACGCAGACGCGCAGCAGGTCGCCAAACTCGGCCTGCTCGGCGTCGAGCGCCGCGCCCTCTTCCGCTGTCGGCGGCTCGCCGAGGAGGAAGCGATACTCGACCGTGCCCTGCAGCTGCTGCTCACGCAAGGCCGTCAGGTAGGTCCTGCGAACCGCGCGGCGGCGGCGCTCGTAGCCAGCGGCGGCGGCGGAGCTGATGAGAAGCAGGACATCGCACTTCTTTCGGGCGGCGGGCGACGGAGTCGCGACCGACGCCTCAGACGGAGTTGTTGTGAGAGCGAGCTCCATGATTCGCTCGGGGGTTGGCAAGGCGGTCATTTGTGGCGATTCGAGGGGGACATCGAGGAAGAAGGGCGCTGGCGCGGATAGCGGGGTCGGAAGACGACAGCTTGGACAGCCACCCCCACAGCCTGGGTTCCAACGTTTTCCGGGGTGTGGTATGGTAACCAGCAAACCGACCTCGAGACCATACCCCCCCCCCCGCCTCTTGGAAGACCTGCTTGGGGTATGGTAGGGCTAGCCTTGGACCATATCTCCAGTCGTAGCGGTGGAACTTTTTTTTGGCTCGGTCAATTATTTAGCCATATATATATGAGAGGATCACGGCACAGTGTCGTTTGGGTCGACAGTAAATCTCCCACAGCCCACGTAAATCCGTCTTTTTCAGGCACCCGGAGCCCTCCGCGGCCGCTTCTACGCCGGCGAAGCACCATCAAGCTGCTGTACGGCCCCGGCATCGCCTGGAGCTGGCCGCTACCGCGGCAATGCCCCGTCGCCGACTCTTGCGGCCGCCCTTCTCCCCCCGCCGCCCGCCTTCGCGTTCGGCCTTGGTGACCCGCGAGCGCTCCCGCCGGCGGCGGCGTGCCAACCGCGCCGCAGCGAGGCCCCGCCATATGGCCTCGAGCTCCGCGGCCTCGAGGTCGCCTGTGCGCGGAGGAGGGCCCTGATCAACCGTCGAGTGTTGTGCGGGCGCGTAGGAGCAGTGCGGCACACCGTCTGCGGGGTCCTCATCAGAACCATCCTCAGATGAATCGCCATCGCCGGCGCGCCCGCTCTCTGCTCGCAGCCGCTCGTGCTCTGCGATGGCAGCGATCGTGCCGGCCTGCTCTATTGGCGGCAGGAAGGTGTACGCATGCAGAGCAGCCACAAAGTCGGCGCCAAGACGACGAAAATCGGTCTGCGTGAAGTGGTACGGCGCGCCAACGATGGTGGTCCCGGCAAAGGAGGCCTCGAGAGTGAACGAGTTGAAGATGCCGAGCTGCTGCCGGCCAACCATGCGCGCGCTTGAGCGCTTCGACTCCTGCGGGCCGACACGCGTGGCTTGTGTGTGTATGCAGAGTGCCGGCTAAAGAATTTTACACTCCAAGAAAAAAGAAAAGGCACCATGCTAGGGCTGGGTCGAGGACAGACACGTCCCCACTTTTGCAGGATTTTTCCACGGGGGACGTCGAAAGAAAGACAGAAAAGAAGAAAGAAAAAGACAAGAGAGGTGTAGGGAGGCGGGAAAAGCCAAAAAGCCGTCCAAAAAGCCACAAAAAGCCGGCCAGCCTCCCGTTACGCGATTGCTCGCGAAAGATCGCGAAGCGCAGCATGATGCGCGGCCAGCGTGGGAGGAGGTCGGCGCCGACGCTGCTAGAACTAAGACGAGACCGCGACCGACAGCGGGCCGTGCTGGCGAGCATCCGCGCTCGCTGCTGACGACGAAAACCGTTCTAGAAGCCAGCTAAAAGAAAGAAACGGACTGCCCAAGGGAGGGAAGGGAGGACGGCACGCCGCCATAAATAAATAAATAAAACGGGCACGTCAAACGAGGGGGGGGAGAAGGACGCCGCCACCACACAGACGCGGTTCTGATGAAATTCTTTTCCCTGTGTGTGTGCCAGTCCGCGCCAGTCTGCGCCCTTGTCGTGCCAGTGTGCTGTGAGAGAGGCTTCTCCGAAGAATTCTTTTCCCGAACCTGTGCACGCCACACCGCGCCCTGCGCCCCCTTTGTGCTAGGATTCATGCCCGGCGACGCGGACGGGGATGTCGAGAGCCTGCTGCAGACGCGGCAGGGCTTTCTCTCCAAGCTCGGCGGGGGCCAAGAAAAGGGCCACAAATGGAACCGCCGCTGGCGCGCCCGCGCGCGTCTCTCCCCGCGCCCCGAGCCAGTGAATCTGATGCACCCTGCGGACCTTGCGCAGGTTTGTGCTGCGGGACAACATCCTGATGTACTTCAACTCGCCCAAAGATTTCACCGGCTTCCGCGACAAGCCCTCCGGCGTCGTGCTCCTCGAGGAGGCGAACGTGCGCGAGTCGGGCGAGGGCGGCTACTACGGCCGGCCCTTTACGTTTGTGCTCTCGCACTCGGGCGGCGAGTCGGTGGTGCTCGCGGCGGAGACGGAGAAGGAGATGGTGGAGTGGATGCAGGCGGTCCGCACGAGCAGGCTGTGCGTCACCGACGCGGAGGCGGCGGCCATGAGCGAGGCGCAGCGCCAGCAGGCCGCCGAGGCGGACATCGATGCGGCAGTGCACCGGCGCGCGGACGCGGAGGCGGCGCTCGCGACTGTGGACAAGGAGCTGTCGGAGGTGCAGAAGACGCACCGCGAGGTCGAGGCCGAGAAGGAGCGCGCCGAGAAGGAGCTGAAGGAGCTGATGGCGCGCTTCAAGCTGCGCAAGTCGCTACTGCACTGGCGGCACCGCAAGCTCACCTTCTCGTTCCGCGCGCTGGTCACGATCGTGTTCGAGGGGCGAATCGACAAGGCGCGCGGTGCGAAGGCGTCGGCCGACGCGCGCATGGCTGCCGCCCAGCAGGAGCTCGAGGCGGCGAGCGCGGCGCGGCAGAAGGCTGAGGCGCGCGCTGCCGTGGGGAAGGGGCTTGGCCAGGGGAGGGGAGGGAAGACGGTGGGGGGAAGCGTTGTGGGTGGGTGGGTGTCTGTGGTCGGTGGGGGGGGGGGGGGGGTGCAGATAACCCTGACCCTGACCCTAACCCTAACCCTAACCCAGGTTGCCAAGCGCAAGTCGGAGGAGATGTACGTGCGCGAGCTGGAGCTGAAGAAGCAGTGCGAGGCGGAGGAGAGGGAGGGTGACCGGCTGGCTGCGCACGAGGCGGACCTGCGCGCCGAGGCGGAGCAGGAGGCTGCCACTCCTCCACCAGGCGAGAGCCAGGTTCTGAGCCCGGGCCTCGCCCCTCTCCGCGTAGGCGGAGCAGGAGGTTGGCGTCCTCAAGCAGGCGCGAGACACACAACTTCACATAGACGCACAACCCAGGGCCCCGACATCGCACAGTGACAGTCAGGCTTCACAACAGTGGCCAGGGGTGGGGCTTGCATGTTTGTCGTCGTGACAGTCGTCGTGACAGTCGCCGCATACACACATCTCCCCACCGCAGTACGTCGTGGAGCGAGTCAGCGACACACCTCACACGGAGCACCCTCTCGCCCGCCGCCAGCCGTGGGCACATTCTCTTCCCCTCTCTTCCCTCCCACCAGCCCACCCCCTCCGCACCCACTGCCAGCATACTCGCCCGGCACCTGTTCACGGCTAGAGGCGTGAAGAGACGCTGTTTTCACACCACAGGGAGTGCAGCATACTCGCCCGCTGAGTCGCCCTCCTTGCCCAGGCGGGACTCGGCAAGCTCTCCCTCGACCGCGAGAGGCAGGAGTGCCTCGACCTGCGCATGCAGCTCGAGCGGTGCCGCGCCGAGGGCGAGCTGCTGCAGACCAAGCTCAAGCGGCGCGTGCCGACGGGCAAGAGCAAGTAGTGGCAGCCGCCTACTGAGCAGCCCAACATAAGCTTAGCTGGGTTCCATATCACTACTCCTGTCGGCGAGCGGCCGTGAGGGGCGAGGGCCGAGGGCAGCCACCCTCGCGCTCTCTCGCCCCCGCAAAACCCGCGCGCCGCTGCCGCAAATGCCGCGCGCGCTGGCGCCGCAGCCACGCTGCTGGCGACGCGGCGCACGCTTCCCGCCCGGCTGTTTGTGTGTGGTGGGTCTGTTACGGCAGCCCGGCCGGGCCCCGGTGTGGTTGGAGGGGACCTGCAGACGACGTGTGCCGCCGCACAGAGATCATGCGTGCGTCCGCGTATCGCTCCGTTTACTGTGTATCTACGTTTTGTGTTGATGTGTGTGCGCGCACGAAACGCACACACGCACACCGGGTTCACACGGTTGTGCTTGGAGTGTGGCTTGTGCGTTGATGTGAGCGCGCGCGCCGGGGGCGGGGCGCGCGGGGTGCGCCCCCAGCGCCAGCCCCCACCGGCACCGCGCACGACCCCGCGGAGACCAGAGACCACCCGCACGCGAGGCGGGCCGAGGCGCCCGGGGGGGGCGGGGGACGGGGCGGCGGGCGGGGGGTATCCTGCCGCCAATCCTCTCCACAAACGCCAAAGTTTCAAGAACGGGCTCCTTGCACCTTGGGTGGGCGAGGAAAGATGTATATGCCACCGCGGGTTACTCAGTGGGTTTCTGCCCGTGTGGGTCCGTGTGCCGGGCGTGGAGATGCGAGGGTCGCCCCCCCCCCTGCGCCACCACTTTGTGTTGCGGAGACGTTTATCTTCCTTAGTTACGCCGGTTACTAAACTCGGCTGGTTTCGTATAAGCCTTGGGGGGCGGTGCCTCGGCAGGCTCGGCGGGCGACTTTGCCTTCGGCGGGCGTTTGCCTCTCAGTGGGTGGTCTGTCGATATATAATGTGGCGCCTGCTCGTGTTCGCCCTCGCCCTCCTCGTCGCGCACGTCAGCGCCTTTTCGAGCACACCTGCGCGGACAGATGCACGAGAGCCTCCGGTCCCAGATCCGCCACCCCTCAGGTCTGCCCCACTGCTTGGTGCAGACGCTAAGTTTGAGCCGGTCATCGATCGCAATGGGGACAGCCGTGTTTCCTTCGGCGAGGCGCTTGCATACGGGAGGTCGCTGCCCTGCAACAACTACACGGGATACGAGGCCCACCTTTTGCTGACGTGGCGCGCAAATGACGCAGACGGCGACGGCAACTACACGATGGGCGAGGCGCGAGCGCACTTCCAGAGCCTCCCCGATGAGGCGCAAGATGGAATTGCTGGGTGCGTCGGGCATGCTGGGAACGGACGCCGGCTCTCATCTGCGGATGCCCTCCTCCTCGCGCCGGCCTTTGCCGCGACCGTAAAGCCGACGCCGCTTCCATTTCCAATCCCGGACCCGCAATTTGATGACAATTACGACTCCGTCGAATCGACCCGGATGGGCTTGAGTCAACTTTTTAGATGCTACCAGTATCTTCGGTGCCCACCCGATGTGACACCGGGCGACATGGACGACTTCCTCAGCAGCGTGCTGACGCACTTCAAGACGCAGAGTTCCATCGCACAGCTGACTGAGCAGGTCAGCAACGGCGCGGTCCAGGCCATTCAAGACGAGGCGGACGAGAGGAACGCGGATCTGAGGCGCAATACTATGACTGCGTCGAGTCTGAATATTGCTTCGGGCGGGTTTGGCCTTGCGTCGGCTTTCTTCAGGGGGTCCCCCGGAGTTGGTCTCTTTCTCACCGCGAGCTCTGTCGGCACTATGGCTGGCGCTACAGCGCTCAACCTAAAGCAGAAGGAGTTGCAAGAGGGCGTCGTCGAGTACCTCACCGGCTTCCAACAGAAGGTGGTCAACAGGCCGGAGATGAGCACCATCAAGGAGTGGTCAGAGGCTGGCGCCAGGATGGGCGCTTTCTTCCCTCGCCTGCAGCTTGCCACGACCGTTGAAAGCATGTGGGCTCTGTTCGGTGCAATCCCAGTTGGAACCCAGGCGGCCATGACGGACGCGAGCTTGCAGCCATACATGTATGACGTGGAGGAACAACACTTTTACTGCCCGCATCCGTGCACCAACCCATACGATCACCTCACAGTGAAGGCCATGAAGACCTACATTACGCTCATGAGCGCGCCTTTGGCCGCGCTCGATCAAGACCGCGCTCTGCGCCAGCATTACATGATTAAGTTGGCCAATGCCACCGTTGGGGAGCTTGAGGCTGTGAAGGTTGATGCGCTGACCGACTTGAACACCGAATACTTCAATGGGCAGCTAGAGAGGTATGTCCAATTCGCTCAAGGGTTGCTGGGGTTTTGGGTGATTCCCGTTTTCTTCAAGAGCGGATACACGGTGGTCTGGAATTGGTGGAAGGGCGGCAGCCGATTTGTTGGCATTGGGCGGGCGACAGGTATAATCAACTCGAATATTGGGTTTCCGAGTGCCAGACAATTGGCCTCTATTGACGAAAGGCTCGTGAGAGAAGTCGTCAGAGACGTGTCCGCACGAGGTCGCCAGATGGTCAGCTACAAAGATGGTGTCCCTACAGACTCTTACCAGTCGAGGCGGGGGTTGAAAATGCAGGCAGATGCCAGTCAGATGCTGAACACGAAGCCGAGCCAGTGGACTTCCCAGCAGCGAGAATTTTTCAACGAGCAACTCCATGGACAGAACACGGCTACCAAGCAAAAGATCGCTAAGTTCCTAGACAGCAACCCTCAGAGGAAAGCCCAGCTGGCCGCGGTCGCAAAACAAAACGGGATGAGTAAATGGGCAAGGGCCAAAGCAATTATTGGCAAGGGGCTCGCCGTCCTCGTTGTTCTGGCTATCACTGTCTTCGAGGTGCTAGCCATCATTAGCGCACAGACGGTCTATGAGGGATATGAGGAGAAAATCGAAGAGGTTGCATCCGCCACCAAAGAATACTACGCCGAGATCATTTCAGCTTACTCGCAGGGAGAGGAAGAGTCAGAGTAGCGTCATGCACCAACCCGTTGGACTGTCGCGGGCTGTGCTTCATGTCCTCAGCCATTCCCGTGCTGCAAGCGGCCGCTCCCAATCAGGACAGCAGCCATGGGCCCAGCTGCAGGCACGCGGGGCGCGGTGGGGTGGGTAGGGTGGAGCGGGCGCCGGAGGGGTGGAGTCGGATGATGGCCTCTGCCCGCCCATGCTCCATACGCACCCTTTTAGTTCTTTCACCGGGAGGCGGGGCCGCCGGCCGCCAGGGCGCAAGGAGCAGGGGAGGGGTGTTCGGTTCGTTCGATCGGAGGCCCCGCCCACAGGGCTGTGTCTGTACAGACGTGTGTTAAAACGAACATTGATGGGAAAGGGCGCGTGTGCCGACAGAGTACGTGCACGTACGCGCGGGCCCCGGGCCTGTTGCCGCCGGTTGGCCGGTATAGAGGGTCGCGTGTAATAGAGCTTTCTAAGCTCTGGGCTCTATGACGCGTGCGGAGCTGCGCACGGCGCCGCCACAAGGAGCGAACTCAGGGGCTGCCTCGTCTGTAAAGCCGCGAGGGACGCGGCGAGGAGGGCGGCACTAAAGCGAGACCCGCTGTGTCCGATCGTGCGGAAAGCCGCGCAGCGCAATGGACCGAGGAAGATGAGAACCCGCCTAGAGCGACGATGGCGCACTTGCTTAGCGGCGCCTGCCTGGGGAATAGGGAGCAGGCCAGATGGTTCCTCAGAGTAGCGCGAGCGCAGACGGGGACGGCGATCTATGATGTAACATACTTCCGGGCCGGTGTGCGGGGAGCGAACCTTAACGACCGCCCAGAAGCTTTCTGAGCGAACCAATCGGGCCAGGATCATCAGCATATGTCCCCTGCACAACATCGTGGGCGTTTGAGCGGTATTTGAGGAGCACCGCGACTCTGAAGTTCGGCCGGGTGGTCTGCAGACCCCCCCCCCCGGAGCAGCAGAGGCTCCGTGGGGTCGAAAAGTCGACGCTGGGAGTCGCACTCGTCAAACCGTCGCATGACCACGCAGTCCGCACGTACCGCCCACATCCCCTCCACCGCTGAGAAGGCGCAGATCGACCGCCGGGCCGCGTAGTCGTCGTTAAGGAGCGGTTTTTGGAGCCGTACGAAGAGGTCCCAGACGGGCGAACATGCGGTTTTTCGACGACCACACGCGATGTGGTATCTGGTTTTTGCTAAAAACGGGCCGCCTAGTGCAGCATCACTAGTACAACACGCAACCACACTGAGAGCTCCACACTAGCCGGTATAGGCGAGCCCCGGCGGCCTCACCGTCGCCGCTCGCGGCGGAGCCGACGGCGGAGCCACGGGTCGGTGCGACCTTTTGGGGGCCCATGAGCTCGCCGGGACGTCACCGATGGCTCGGCGCGCCTCTTCCCGCCAGCGCGGGGCGGCCCACCTACAGGAGCAAGGGGGAGGTGGTCGTGCGCTCACTTTGGCGGTCGCGCGCGAGGTGAATACTGGGTGTGAGGCGCGCAGGAGGCGATAGTGGGCGCGCCGGCGGTCGAGCCACCGAAGAATTCGACGTGGCGCAGCTCCGCGCCGGCGGGGACGACCGAGCACATGATGTCGGCGGCGGTCACGCGACGAGGGAGAGCCGCAGGAGCCCTCTGTGGAGCAGGCGCGCGAAAGCAGCGATGAGTGGCGCTTCGTCAGCCACCTGTGGGCGGTCATCGGGGTGGCGCCAAGCCTCAGCGAGCTGGATCCGGGAAGGGCAAGGGGTCGCGCGGGCCCTGTCTGCAGCAGCAGTGCTAACTAAAACGACAAAATTCCGGATGGACCGGAGACTGTCTACTCTTTCGGCGCACCGTCCTCGACCGCGCTGAAAAGCTGGCTGGTGGTCGCCGCAGCGCGTCAGCGCGACTCCAACTGGTTGGGCACCTCGGCTGGGTCCATCAGCAAGAGGCCCGCGCCGTCGGGCGGCCCCGGGAGCGCATGATGCCCCTCCGAGAGGCGCTGACGCCCCGCCGAGATCGCGCTGGTTTGGCACGAAAAACACGAGGGCCCAAGGGGGGGGGTCAAGTATGTTACATCATAGATCAGCAAAGTAGCCCAGGCGGCACCCGACTCCAAGGATACGCTGAAGACGCTGAGGATAGCGCATGTCGCTGCGCTGAAGGGCTCACGCTATAGGGTGCTGGATGAGGACGGGTACGATGCACTAGCCCCAGCCGTCGGGGGGGTGTTGACGGCGCTGGTAGATGATCTCTCGGAGAAGAGCCGGAGGGACCTTGGCGCCGGGGTCACGAGGAACTTGCAAGTCGTGGCCGAGGCGGCGACGGGAGCGGTGCAGAGGTGGATCCAGCTCAACGATGAGGCTACCGCGCGCATAATGAAGAGAGAGGAACACATTGAGTGGCTGAGGAAGCTCTTCACTGGGGTGGAAAGAGGCTCGGCCGGCCTTGAGGGAGTCGCGGAGGAGGAGGGATAACGCAGGCAACGCAGGGACGGGCCAACAGCCAGTGGGACGGGGACCCGGAACAAGGGCCGCGACGGCGGCTCAAGCGGGAGGGAGCGAAGACGGTGGGCAGCGAGCGGAGTGGGTGAGACTGATGATGCTCCTTCGACTTAGGGAGCGGTTCAGCTGCTGGGCGGGCTTCAGGCTGGTGCTCACGCGAAAAGGAATCGACGCGATGTGCAAAGCATACAAGAAGGGGAGAAGGAAGAGGAGAGACGCCAGTGATGACGAAGCAGAAACTAGCGCAGACGAGAGCAGGGCAGAGCCGGGGACTGGGGAGCCGGAGCAGACGGCATCGGCCGCCGAGGGAACGTTGGGAAGAGAGCACGAGGAGGGCGGCGACCTCAACCGACTATGGAGGACCCGTCGCCAGACGACGCAGGGCAGAAGACGGTGAGGCGGAGCAGACGCGCAGGGCGAGACGAGGGGGGGAGCAGGACTTTGCGGAGATCAGCAGGAGGATGTACGAAGAGATTAGGAGCAGCAGGGACCCGAGGGACCATGTGGAAGACGGCTTAGTGCTAGTCCCCCATCGAGAGGACGACCCCGGCTAGTCGCCGACCACACCCACAAAGAACCCTGCACAAAGATCGCAAGGGCGGGGACCTGTTCCTTTTTACCCATCTCACAGTAGAGCGAGGTGTCCGTTTTTATTTATTTAATTCACTTCACTGTACAACCATACGCGGGCGGCGGCGCGTGAGTCGTGAGAGGGTGTGAGTGAGTGAGTGTGAGAATGAGTGAGTTAGAGAGAGAAGAGCGAGAGATATTTAGCAATGTATATGTAATTCATGCCCTGTTGCGTGTTGGACTCTGTGGACAGGGGGATGGGGGAAGCCAGAGCGCAGAGGCCAGAGCCAGAGAGGTGAGACGGCGAACGATGCACGGTTCACCCGCCTCGCACAACACTGGGCACGGGACTACATGCTACATCAGGTACACCGCCTAAGCGACTCCTGCGAGGGAAAGAGGCCACACCATCCCCGAATGCTGTAGTGCCAAACGGCGAGCGAGCAGTGTACACGTCTACCGGGCGCGTGACGGGGCGCACCTCAGGCGACTCGGAGTAGCGTCCACGTTAGCACCCGCTCGCGGCAGATGGGGCACTGCTCCATTCTTGCGGAGCAGGAGCTGCAAGCGCACAAGTGCCCGCATGGAATCGCGACGTGCGACTTTGGGCGCGTAAAGCAGATGATGCACGTGGTCTCGCCGCCGAGGGTCGACTCGGGCACGGCCGGGCGGCCCGTATCGAACGTGGCGGCCGCCAGGGAGACGACGACGGCCGCCGGCGGGTCACTCGGTGTAGCCTCCGCAGACGAGGGCGAAGCTGAATAGACGCCAACACTGCGATCACCGCGGCCCCGGCCGCCCCGCCCACGCGAAGGGGAGATTGCAGGCTCGATGCTGGCAGGAGTTGCGCGCGTCTCGCTGGCGGGCTCGGCGTCCCTCAAGCCGACCCCCGTGCCAGCGCCGCCTGTATCGCTGGACGCAGCCTCCGCTGCACTGTACTCGGAGAGGGCGGCCTCAGACGGAGTGGGCGGCGGCAGCGGCACCCCGATGAGTGCCGCGAGGGCGACCTCGGCCTGCTCCCGCAAGCTCCCCTGTGGCTCGATCTCCAGCAGGTTCGCGCGGCGGAGCAAGTCCCCCACGCCCTCCGCCGCCAGGCCGAGCTCCTCTGCAGTCGCAGCCACCGTCTGCACGTCCACCGCGTCCTCCTCGGCAGCCTGCGTGTCGCGCTCCGCCGCCGCCTCCGCCGCCGCCGCCGCCTCCGCCTCCGCCGCCGCCGTCGCCGCTGCCGCCGCCGCCGCCGCCGCCGCCGCCGCCGCCGCCTTCGCAGCCGCTTCTCTTTTAGCCATATCGGCTACCTGCCTCTGAGCCGCCTCCGCTGCTTTCCTGGCTGCCGCCTTTGCGGCCCTCCTCGCCTCAGCCTTGGCTGCTCTCCTCGAATGCTTTGCGTCCGCCGTTCTCTCCGAATGCTTTGCGTCCGCTCTCCTTGCCCCCATCCCCATAGCCACTCGCAGCTCCCTCAAGTCAGCGTAATCATAAGTTGCATTCAAAATCAGAAGCCCGACGCAGAAGCTGAGGAACCCCAGACACCATTGCACAAGCATCGGAGGTCCATAGCCCCACCAACCGTCGGCGGCACCATCCGCGTCCGGGACCAGCGGCAGCGCGTCGTGCTTGGTGGCATCTTTGAGCGCCTGAGCGCACGCCGCGCAACCCAGATCCTCAGCGAAGCGTACCGCAGTGAGCCCTTCCCCGTTCTGCAGCTCGACCTGTGCCCCCGCCCGCAGCAGTGCGTGGACCACCGGCACCCTACCAGCGCTGGAGGCGTCCATCAACGCACTGTTTCCCTTGGCGTCTTGCATATCGACCACCGCGCCGTGGTGGATCAGCAACTCAACCACCCGCTCTTCTCCGACGGCGGCGGCAAGCATCAGCGCGGCCTCGCCGTTTAAGTTCAGATGGTTGACGTCGGCGCCCTTGCTCAACAGATAGTCGACCATCCGAAGCGCCCAAGGCTGGGCGCTATTGCAAGCGTACGTGAGCGCTGTGTTGCCCTCGCTATCTTGCTGGTTGATCTCTGCGCCGTGCCGAATCAGTACAGCGGCAGTCTGCTCGTGGCCATTGTCAGCCGCGTATAGCAGCGCGGTGTGGCCTTCACTGGTCTGCGCGCCCACCTCCGCGCCACGCTGCAGCAGCAACTCGACCACATGCGCATGGCCCTCCCCAGCGGCTGCCGCCAGCAGCGTCATCCCGCGCACACCAGACCAGGCGCGGCGGTGTTGTAACTGAGGGCGGCGGGTGGTCACCCAAGGGCCGTCGTCGTACGTCGGACTCGCCTCCCCACCGCGGTCGAGCCACTCTGACACCACCGCCGCGTTGCCTAGCAGACACGCCTCGAAGACGAGCCCGACCTCCATGTCACCCGCGACCGAGCCAGCGGGAACACTGCTTGTGAGGGCGTGACCACCCACGCCAAGCGCCAAGGCACACAGCAAGGCGGGCGTGTGCAGTGGGATTTGATGCGCTGCGAATCGGGTGGGCGCGCCGGGCATTTCCGAAGCAGTGGGGTCAGCGAGAACCGCCGGGGTGGTGCTGCCCCGCGCTCCAAGGCGTGCCTTGTCAAAGAACAGCCCCGGAGCTCAAGCGTGCCTTGTCCTGACAGCGCATCGGTTGTTTTCTTTTTTTGGTCTGCCCGTCAGCACCCCCATGCAGCGGCGCGGCGCGGCGGCGGGCGACGCAGGGCGGGGCGGCGCGAACACCTGCACCGCACCGGGTCTCTGGCCACATTGGAGCAGTGCAGTGCAGTGCAGTGGTCGCGTCGCCCATGTCCGGACCAACACCCCGTCCCCGACCGGCAACGACGGAATCTACTCCGTGCCGGCGGTCCCGTCGGTGGCGGCGCCGATCGGATCGCGTCGCGCCGGCGGGGGTGGTGACTGAGCGGGCAATGGCTCCGCTGGCCGGCGCGGGGTCGCGCCAGCGGGGAACAGGTAAGTAAGGCGGCATTGTGTATCGACGATGAACGGTCACGAAACCCACCCCACCACACTGAAAGACCACACCGGTCAGTTGACGACACACTCACAGACGCCCGCCGATGAAGCCGGGAGGATGTATGGAGGAATGGTAATGACCTCTCCGGATTGGTTGAGCCCCGGCATCGATGCGGGAAGAGGGAGGATCCCCGCCCCTCTGCTCTCAGTTCACAATCCCCAAGAGGAGAGGCAGAGCCTCTGGCGCGGTGAGACCACCCGTAAGCTCTCAAGGCCGCACCCCCCCTCTTCAGTTCAGATCACGAGCCCACGACGAGCGGCAGCGGCGCGCGCGCACACACACAAAGCTGAGGGAGGGTGTAGAGGATGTAGAGTGTAGAGCGCTGTAGAGCTGTAGAGCTGGAGAGTGCTGTAGAGCTGTAGAGCTCTACATCCACCGCGTGACGAGGCGGGTGCGTTGTAGAGCGATGTAGAGGCGCTCTACAACGTGAAATCTCTACAACAAACTCTACATCATAAGCGGCGAACGAGGCACGGTCGCTCTCCGACATGAGGCGCGTTGCACTTACCAGTGCTGCCCTGGCCTTCTGTCTGCCCGCCCAATGGGTGGGAGGTGCCTCTGCTGCTGTGGCATGCCTCACGGCTGCGACTGGCCGGCGCCTCGGCGCGTCAGCTCGGCTTGGCGTAGCGATCGTGGCCAGCGCAACTCGCCTGGACTCAACGCTCAGCCAGGAGCTCCCGCACGCGCTGGCGCGAGTCATGGCGCATGCAACGCGTCTGAATGCTCGCCTCGCCTCGCGCAAATGCGACCGTCCTCGCAGCCGATAGTCCACCGCCTGCTAAAGAAGCACAGCGACGAATGCGGCACCGGCGACGCATGGCAGGCTGGTCATGACGCAGTTATAGGGTGTTGTGTGCCGTCAGAGTGACCGTCTCTGTGTGTCAGTGATAGTCAGGGCCGTCCATCAGAGCTCCAGTAAGCTCGGAGACACCCCATTAGTGCGACTCGACCTCTTTGAGTCACTGCCTTCCCGGCGGTTTGGCTGTAGAGCCTCTACAACAAACTCTACAGCAAAATCGCGCTCTACATCGCTCTACAACGCACCCGCCTCGTCACGCAGCCGATGTAGAGCTCTACAGCTCTACAGCGCTCCAGAGCGCTCTACATCTCTACAGCTCTACAGCGCTCTACACTCTACATCCTCTACACCCTCCCTCAGACACAAAGACGTTGCCCCCCTCACACCCCGCACCGCACATCCTATTCCAGGGCCGTCCGCGGCGCATCCCCGGCGGCCCGCTCCGACGGTGGCCGGCGCTTGCGCGCCAGCCCCGTCCGCCGCCGGATCCGCGGCCGCGGTCCCTGTCATAGCTACGCGCGCAATGGGGCGACGTGCCCGCCGTCAAGATTTTTTTAACCATTTAAGGTTTTTATTGAATTTTGTTATTTGTAACGCGAGCACCGAGCCGGTGCCTGTACAGCGTACAGGCTACAGTGAAATGGAACTAGCCCGTGTATCCCTAAAGTTTGACCGTTTCATTTGTGTATTCCCCCATAACTCGAGAGACGAGACACGCGCAGCAGTCACAGAGCACATGCTCATGCAGCAGCAAGAACTGTCATGTCGTTGGGACGATCGCCCCCTCGCCCGCGCGCCGCGGTACCGCCGGTACGCGCAAAATGCCGACGACGGCCGGACGATGGCTCACGTCGTGCGTAGAGTGGGAGGCTGTACTAACTGCCATGGCGCGGCGAGAGGCGCACTGGCCGCTGCCTGTGCCTCGCGCGTGGCCGGCATGCGCATGGTTGCGCCCGATCCGCCGCGAGGTTTTACTCTCGCGGGCGGGATGGATCTCCCCCCCCCCCCCCTCCCTTCCCTCCTCTCACTTGCCCGGCAGCCCGCGCTTGTTGCTCGAGAGGCAGCCGTTCACCTTTTGGGCGAAGCGGAGCGAGGAGACCGACTCGTTGTAGTGCTTTGCCAGCGGCGAGATGTTGACGAACATGAGCGTCTTGGACGAGCCTACCCGTCGGGGGACCCTCGGCTGATCCACCGGCGAAGAGTGACGGCGCGGCAGTGTCTTGAGCGAGCCCGAGAGCGCGTTCTGCATCAGGTGCGTGAGCTTCGAGTTGCGGAACGGCACGTGCTTGGCGCCAGAGGCGAGCGCCGCCACCTGCGCGGCAGCGGTGGTCGCAGCGGTGGTCGCAGCGCGCAGGGGCGGAACGGCACCTCGCACCTCGCAAAGCCCGGAGCCCGCCCCGAGCCCCGAGCTCTGCGCCGCGCCACCCCTCGTCTACATCTCGGCGACATCTCGGGTGGGGATCGGATCTCGGCTGAGTCTCGCCACGTCGCCGAGCGAGGAGAGCGACTTGTTGATCGCTCTCGCCTCGACCATCTGCTCGCCGCTCACGCCCGACTCCTTGACGCGCTCCGAGCCTGCATCTCGGACACTTCTCGGGGTGAGCTCGGGGGGGCCCTCGAGGAGGCGACGCCTCGACGCGCTCCGTGCCGGCGAGGTCAACCAGGTAGAGCTCCGACTCTCGGCACTCGCCGCCCTCGCCTGTGGTCAGACATGCCCCGTGGGAAGAGACGCGGCTCAACTCGGCGACTCGTGCGGCGACCGCCGCCCTCGCCCTCGCGGCGGCGGATGCGCATCCGGAAGACATAGTGCGAGCGCGAAGAGCGGTCGTTCATCTTTGTGCTCGCCGTCGAGCGCACGCGCTGCGCAGCGGCGAGCAGCGGCGCCACCTCCTCCGCCGTCGCGACGCGCGTCGACTTGAGGCCTACAAATCTCGGACGATCTCGGGTCATCTCGGGTTCATTTTTCGGGGCTGGCACGCGTCGACAGGAGGCCTAGTCCGGCGAACACCACCGCCCGTCCGGAGATGCCGACGAGTAGCTCATTCAGGACGCGAGGTCGGCCCGAGAGTGCACCTACTCAGCGGACTCCGCCCCCAGTGTTGTCAGCAGGTGCGCAAGCCATCCAAAGGGCGGGGCTCGGCGGTCTCGCCTTGCACGCACACGACGCCGGCGAGGTCCTGCAGCTTGAGCTTGGCGGGCTCGCCGCCTGCGGAGGAGAGAAACGCACGGCTGCAGCGGGGGGGGGGGGGGACTCTTCCCTGCAGCTCGGGCTCGGCGAGGCTCGGCGCCCTTTGGCGGCGGCGCGAGTAGGTCGCGCACCTCCTCGTTGTAGACCTCGAGGCACGACACCTGGAGGGAGGCTCCCCCCCATATCTCCCCATATCTCCCCCACACATCTCCCCCACATACCTCCCCCATATATCTCCCCGCATCTCCCCATCTCCCGGGCAGCCTCCTCGTGGTAAACCTCGAGGCGCGGCTGCGGCGCGACAGGGTGAAGCCTGACTAAATGGCGGCTGCAGCCGTGCGGCAGTGCGCCGAGTGCGGGCTGGCGGCGTCGGTGGGGTGCTGCGGGCAGCGCCGCGTCGTTGCTTCTACCTCTCGCGGCACCTCAAACTCGAAGGAGGAGCCGAGCGCCGACAGCTCCGCCGCGTGAGCGAAGAGGCGCTCGACGGCGCGCGGCGTGACGCCCGGGTCTCCGCCGGGGCCCTCCATGGTGAAGGTCTTGCCCGAGCCTGCGGGCACGCCGTGGGCGCGTCGGGGACGTGTCGCGGCACGTGTCGCGGCACGTGTCGCGGCACGTGTCGCGGGACGTGTCGCGGCAGGGCGGGTCGCGAGGCTCTGCTCGCGAGCAAAGTCGGCGACGGATCTCGGCCGCATCTCGGCCGGCATCTCGGCCCGCATCTCGGCCCGCATCTCGGCCGGCATCTCGGCCGGCATCTCGGCTGGCATCTCGGCTGGCATCTCGGCTGGATCTCGGCCGGCATCTCGGCCGGCATCTCGGCCGGCATCTCGGCCGGCATCTCGGCCGGCATCTCGGCCGGCATCTCGGCTGGAATCTCGGCTGGAATCTCGGCTGGATCTCGGCTGGATCTCGCCCGTCTGGCCGTAGGCAAAGATGGCGACGTTGTGGCCGTCGAGCGCCGACTGCGTCAGCTGAGACACCTGCTCGCGGCCAGAGGTGTGAAGAGACGCCGTCCGCAGCGCCCCCCCTCCCCCGACGGCGTGCCGCAGACACACGCCTCGACGAAGACGTCTTCTTGCGACGCCGCCGCGCCAAACGCGTGGTCGAACTGGAAGCGCTGCGGCCCGCCCTTCGCGCCATCGACGGGCCGGATCTCGAGGACGGTGTCCTCCACCTGCCCCGCCGGCACGCTCACCGCACACTCCGCCTCGCCGCCGCCGCCGCGCACGCGGCAAAAGACGCGGATGTTTCCGCGAAGCGCCTGGATGGTCTCGTGCATCTGCGGGCGGGGTGAGGGGGGAAGGGGCGGCTGGGGAGAGGCGGCGGGGGAGGGAGAGCAGGGCGGGAAGGCGGCGCGCCGCTCTGCCTTCGCGGAGCTCGGCTCGGGCGGGCGGCACGGGGAGGCATGGCGCGTGGGTGGTGTGGCGCACGGGGGTCAGGGGGAAGGAGTCCCCCCTCTCCGAAATGGCGACGACGGGGTGCCTCATGCCTTCCAGTATCCCGTGCGACCTCGAAATACTTACCTTCACCACTTCAACATCGTCAACTCAATATCTTGCCATGTTCCCCGCGCCAAAAGCTCCTCCACTGCTTATT